CAGGAATATTTACAGCACAGCATGAAAGCACATGCCAAAGAAGTGACAATGCAGCAGTACGAAGTTGTTGTATTGATCGAATAAATTGCCTTATCCAACAGCTTTAGGTTGACTATTAGCATTTCAGTGTTGTACATCTCTTCAGTTTCACATTTAATGTGTTTTTGAGAAAACAAGTGGTGTTTGGGAAAGCCTTCCTCCCCTCTAAACAAAATAAGACATGGGTTCCCAAAGAAAGCTCAGCAGCAACCAATCGGAGATTTTTAAATGATCTGAGGCATAACGGAAGACTCTTATAAAACACATCTTCAAAATAACTCTGTAATAAATAGCCCAAAGGGTTTGTTCCGCTGAATTTAACTGAGGTATTTTTTTTCAAAATATAATGTCGCTAGTAAAAAAAAAAAGGTTACTGAAAATCCTATGACACTGAAAGAAAATGAAGCTTCAAAATGGCAGAGTTCAGATAGCACTGGGATTTTGTTGTGCTATTACTCTGACCAAACGACCAAGAACTTCACAACAGGTTCCAGACAAGCTGTGGCAAAGTGCTGCTGGATGTTTAAGCATATTCCTCTATTGCTTTTGATTTCGTGTAATGGTGTCACATAGTTTTGAGAGCCAATTACCAGTAAGGACCTTTCCCCCGGAGCGTGACAGAGGATGAGACCAGCAGGTGTCCACCCTAACAGCACACTGGAGGAACAAGGTCTTGCTTAGTAAACAAGCAAGACGTGTATAACATGCCATCCACATGTTTAACAGCTGTGAGAGTGTCTCCGCCATCCAAGCAGGTGCCGTGGGTGCTAAACCTACTTTGTGAGCTGAAGTTCATTATTAATAATCCTCTCTGCAAGGGGAGAGAAGAGGCTGTGCAGTCAGACACTACCATATCATGCGACCAAGTCCACACACACTGGAGATAGACATCTGTAATGGGAAGACACTTTTCCTCATAGACTTTCAGGCTAATTTTTTTCCCTGGTTTTGGTAAAAATGTTTATATTACAGGCAATTAGACTTCTCAGAACTTAAACACAAGTATTTGCATATTCAGATCAGCCTAGGGTATGCAATGTACAGAACTACTGGATAACATGACCATAGACAAAGGGCAACCCAGAGAAAAGCATCAGGAGGGAATTTAATTGACCTCTGTAAAAGGCTTGACTTATGAGAGAAGCTGAGAGCCCGGATCATACATCCCAATATTCAGAAACCAGCTCTGGAAACATTTAACTGAAGAATTTCTATCTACCTCTGTCCATAGAATGGGACTGATGATACTTACAGAAAATCTTAAAACTTGTAGTCACAAGCAGTCTGTATAAATTCCAGCTATCATGAGCATGGCTGAAGCTGGCTTGATGCTGTGTGAAAAGCAGACTACATATTACCAAAATAAAACCCTTCCGAAGGAAACATTTGACACTATCAGGAAAAGAGATATGCTAGCTTCTTGCCACCTACAGGTGAAACACTAAAATCCTCATGGTCCAGCAGCTAACTACCTCTCAGACTCCAGTGTTTGGAGAGTAAATTGCCTCAAAACCAGAACTGACATTAAATACAAACGGAATTGGGGTTTCAAACTTTGGGCAACTTATGGAATCTTGTCTTTTTTATTTTAACATTGAAGTATGTAAAATTTTAAATGCTTCGTCTTTTATAATCAATTCGCTTGACAAGGCTTTGTTTGGTGTTTTTTTTCTATGAAGAATAGCGAAAGATCTCCTTTTTTCTTTTTTTTTCCCCCTAGTCCCACATCATGCTTCTGCTAATTACCATTGATTAGCAAACAGCTTGCCAATTAACTCTGACAGGGTAGTCATCAGTTTCATAGCACTGCATGTCATCCAAAAGGTAGGGAGAAATTACTGTTAGTTTCAGACAATTAGCAAGAGGCTGGCAGAGCTCACAATTGCCTAAAAGCTATATGCTCCAGCACCACTGAGATAAATTATTGAATCAATTAAAACACATGGTTAGATGTCTGTAAGTATATTTAAAGCTAGCAAACAAGCTTCTAGCTGTTACGGAGTAGAATTAAAAATTAGTGGAAGGAGAAAGACTAGTAGGGGTTTT